GTAAGCGAACCAAATCCAGATTGTCAAATAATTTTTTCTTGTTGAATTCCCGATAGCTATTCACCTTTTTGCTGTTGAGTGAGAGCTTCAACAGTGTTTGATTTGGTGGCTTGCTCCAAGATCTTTCCCCACAGCTACACATACATAGGTAAGCACACAGGCTGAGCCGATTTTTATAGTAGGATTGTAGCGAGCACACTCGCAGGAGCAGAGGAAGAATAAAGTGAGTGATTGGACGAGATCACCGAGCGAGTCGATACCGTGACGGCGCACGGGTGGCGGCTCTTGTCAACGTCCTACCTGTGTTCCTAGTACTCACTCTCTTTTCGGCTTTCTTGACTTGTTCTCTTCTGTGCGTCTACCTACTGCTAATTGCTCGTGTCCATCCCTGTCAAGAGGGATGAAAGTATTGCTTTTTAGTGCGCGTTCGCCACCAGAAAATATTTGTTTTTTCATCGGATCAACGATCAACGATCATAAATCAACGGTCGGTATCCTGTTGGCTGACCATCCTTGTTCACTACCAGTTCGTGATGATTCCCCGTCTCGTTCGTCATCAGTTCCAGTGAAACGCTCGCGTGTTGTCGTCTCGCCTCAAGTCTCCAATTCTACACTGGATAAGCTGCAGTACTACCTTTTTGACTATGAGCTGCTGCCTTATATGAATACCAGGTTGGTTGGCGCACAGTACTGCGCGCCTGACGTGAGACAGCATTACGAAATGGTTTGTTATAGTAACTGAGGTTGATGCCGATTCCTTTTCTTTTCTGTGATTTTCGTTCTTTCGTTTGATGTGGTGACTTCAAGTGTGGGTAACCTTCCAAGTTGGCTGCATTTTATGTGTCATTATGTTTCAGTTACAGTTTCATTTGCCTATTTCAAATGTGCTCTCCAATCGCAATAAGTAGAAATTCATTGAGAATCGTGTAGGACTCAAAGCGAAGTATAAGAGGAAAAAGGGAGGTAATAACTCCTCAAGAAAGAATGGGCTTCAATAAACGTTTTCTTCTTTTGCGAATGATGATAACTCGACATAAACTTTAGTCTATGGCTCCGAAGCATTCTTCCAAACTCCTTTAAAATTGAATAATTGACGTTACAGCCGTTAACCATCAAATCTCCAGAAAATGCTGGCTTACCATTTTCACTGTCAAGTCATTTCGCAAGATAAGCTTGTTTCAAGGGTAAATTGCCATTTGCTTGTTGCTGGATATGTGTGATTTCAGTTTCAGGAGCTTTTTAACGGGAAGATAACAGTCTTCTCCTCGCGATTCACCTCGCATAAGGGTGACAAAAAAAAGCGGAAAAAGATAATAAACAATTCAATCTCGCTTTTTTTCTCAACTACGGAAATGCTGCATGAGGGTCAACGCAGTAGAACTTCGTTGTGGACTAATTTTTCGAGCGATTCGAAGCAGACTCTACCCTGATTCCATTAGGTGTTTTTGGGCGGGAGAGTGCGACGTACAGTTGACCGTGGGAAGAAACGTTTTCTGGAAGAAACACGCCAACTGTGTTGAATGACTGCCCCTGAGCTTTGATCGCCATGACAAAAGTCACTCGCACCAGGAACTGCCGACGACGAAGCTTGAAAGGAGCTTTTTGGATCCCAGTAGTTGTCTATCCTGGGAATTATAGCTAACTGGTTCCTTCGTTCACCACAAATAAATCTGCAAGCTAACGTGAAGCGTCCGAGTGTTTCAACCTCGAGACGTGTTCCATTGCAGTCCGTTTCTACGTCCAAGTTTCTTAGTAGCATTTTTACTGCACCCTTTTTCGAATGTAGCTCGTGTGGGGGCATGCCGCTTGGAGTGAGGGAATTCAGGTACTCCAACTTGAACAGTTTTCCTGGCTGCACCTCCTGGTAAATAGCTTTAACAACTATGCTGAATTCTAGTTCAGTATTTCCTGAGGATATCCTCAGTATTTCTCACACTTTTCTCAAATGTCTTTACAGAACTGTAAACATTCGGATTGAAACGTTGATTGATGTTTTCCCCTACGCAACACTTTTCCCAATGGATGCCGCTCTTATCTGATAACGAAGCCTTCTTAAGCCGTATGTAATCGTCGCCTGTGTCATATTCTTCTCTACCTTTCTTTTTACCTTTCAGATATAATTTATTCTTGTTCACTTCTTATGTATGTGCTTTAGAGACACGACCGCTTTTATATTTCCGGTAGGATTAGGCACGAGCATTATAACTCAGCCTCAGCTGATCTTAAGAAGTAGGTTACTTTTGATATTCGGTTCACTTTCTGAAAGACCTTTCTGTCACTGTTTAGTAGCTGCGGAAATCAGTGATAAAAGTTTAATTACCCAAGTTTCAGTTGTTTGTTCTCTAACTACTATACTCGTATACGACCCTATTCATTGGCGCATCAAATGATCACTGCCCGGACGACAGGTACGGCATTCACAACTATTCTATTCGTCCTCCTATTCTTTTATCTGCTTTATCGTGGAGATTGGCTGAGCACGAGCACGTTTTCTTGCCGATTTTTCTGCAGAGCACCTTTGATATCAGGCTTACGTACATCTGAGTCAGTTGAGAAGTAGTATGACCTCATTAGTCCGAACCAGTAAGTCTCTGGTAACTAAACGTATCAAGGCAATAAGGGAATGGCTTAATACCAACGAGGGCCTTCTCCTATCACCCACGTAGACCGAGAAACGGATACGAGACCCACGTAGACCGAACACGGATACGAGCCAAAGATGTCCGCTCTGCACTCAAACGTGCGACGAAAACACTGGTGCTCTGGAATCATCACTGCGTAAACTTGCGGAAGCTGTGGAAGCCCTTGAAGATCGCTCAGCCGAAGATGACTCACAGTTCGACAAGTATGTGGAATCGCACGAGACAATAATGAAGCTGGACACATATAAAGGAAAATTGTGGCGCGCACTGGGCATGAAGGAAGATTGCAATAACCATCGACTTATTTGCCCGACGAAAGAGAACGAACTTGCTGAGATATGATTTTTCAGCATGCCGACATCAGAAGATCTGGAAGCCCGTCTTAAGCACGAACTTAGTCGGAAAATAGCTATAGCTGAAATCTCACATGCACGACCATCAGAGCAGCTCATCTAGTATCGACTGCGCTACTATGGCGCACAGTGCTATGACGCGACCTCCATGATCCAACAAGCGCGTTATGAATACGCAGCACTCATGCGTGACGAGCACGATCTCTCCACCAAAAGAGGGGGGAGCGTTTCACTTTCCTTGTGAAACTTAAACAGCTGCACGCAACGCACAAGCAGCTAAGAGCAGAGTTGGTAGCCAATACAGAGTTCTTCGTACTAGCGCACGAGTGGTATGAAATTCTTGTGACGGTGGATGAAGTGTATGAATTATCCAGATTGGAGTTCATTCGCACACTGAGTGAAGAAGAGCACATCGAACCTACGGAACCGGGAGATAGCAGTTACCCCAATCCGACAATAGTTCATCGTTCTTATGAACGTAATGTTGTCATAGTCATGATGAAGTACCAGCTCGTGAAGTTAGATGCCCTGCTGGAAGAGGAACAGGAGTCTTGCGAGACAGCAGAAGCGGAAGTCCGTCGCAATACCGCTGTTGAGGATGAAACTATGCGTCAAGTGAGAGAGGCGTGCTTTGACCTGCACGATGACATTCGATGCCAGAACGAGGAAATCGAAGACTGTATGCAGAGAATGAAGGGCTTCAGCGATGCGATCATGAAAAGTGCACGAAGAATGCTGAGGGATCCAAATATATCATCAATGAATTGAGGAAAGTTTCGGAGCGTAGCAAGGAAGCCACGCCACAAATCACAAGATACGCAGAAGAGTGGAAAAGGCTCACGGCACAAATCGAGAGCGGACAAAGAACTGCAGGATTGGAAGGAGCAAAGAAAAGAAGACTCACGGTCGAGCAGTCCAAGAACGGGTTGCAAAAGGAGACATGGAGGTTTCGAAATCCCGCCTCGGAATTACAGAGGTATGAAAGAATACTGGATCGGAGCGAGAAAGAGCTGACGGAAATCGACGATTTTTCTCAGTCGAAGACAGACGTTTCCGTAGCAGAAGGCGAGGAAGGATTGACCCGCGTATATTGTAAGGTAAGAGGATCACTACTTCGACGCGTGTCCGGATTTACGCTCCGTATTCAAAAAGGATTGAGTTGTTGAAATCAGGGAGCAGACAGATGGTATGCCTCGAATTCACTTTGCATCAACATGCTCTAGGAACGCACCATGCTTCTACTGCAAATCAGTTAATTATCTCGACGACTTTGACCATCATTGCAGTATTTGCAGGAAGCCTGAAGAGTTCGCCGACAAAATGAGACGCAGAGAAGAAATCAAAGTTCTGATCGATATGTGTGAAAGGGCACTGGAAACCTCGAAGCCCTGTTCTTCAAGATGGTCCGGTTCGAGACGAGGAAGGCCAGAGCACGATCGTGAGACTTCGCGGAGATCGCAAGCTGATAAGAGAACAGCTGATGAGGCGTGGTAGTGACTCGATTCCACGATAGCCCAAGCAACGACTCATGGCGGCGCGGAGAATACCGAATTCTAGCTCAGTATTTCCTGAGGATATCATCAGTATTTCTCACAACTTTTCTCAAATGCCTTTACAGAACTGTAAACATTCGGATTGAAACGTTGATTGATGTTTTCCCCTACGCAACACTTTTCCCAATGGATGCCGCTCTTATCTGATAACGAAGCCTTCTTAAGCCGTATGTAATCGTCGCCTGTGTCATATTCTTCTCTACCTTTCTTTTTACCTTCAGATGTAATTTATTCTTGCTCACTTCTTATGTATGTGCTTTAGAGACACGACCGCTTTTATATTTCCGGTAGGATTAGGCACGAGCATTATAACTCAGCCTCAGCTGATCTTAAGAAGTAGGTTACTTTTGATATTCGGTTCACTTTCCTGAAAGACCTTTCTGTCAGTGTTTATTACCTTAGTGATAAAAGTTTTACCCAAGTTTGAGGTCTTGTACTAGAAAATCCCGCGTGGCACAGCTGTTTGTTCTTCAACTACTATACTCGTATACGACCCTATTTATCAACGCTCTTGTAAATGCGTTAGTCTTGTGACGTGTCGATGCTGAGACATTGAAGAGCGTCGTCGTCAGACGGTGAACCTGCACATTTTTTGATGGCAGTATAGCATTGTCGCAGAGAGAATTAGTTGACGGGTCGACAATATCCCCAAAAATTTCAGTGATAATGTCCGTCGTACACAGCTGTGCGACCGCCTTCGTCATTCGCCTCTCCATTACCGATTTCGATAAGGCGTTCTCTCCAATCACTGCCAGCTTCCTGCGCTCTCATGTTCACTTCAAGCCTGTGAACGCAAAATAACGGCCATAGAGATGATTTCAGAACACAGGACTCGACAATGTCCTCTCTCTGGCCGTGTTCAACAACAGGTAGGATCTGCCGGAAGTCACCGCCAATCACCATGACTTTACCTCCAAAGGGCGCGTCTACCTGCATCACATCTCTCAAAGAGCATCAACCGCTTCAAGAGCTGCCTTCGGGCCATGGAGATTTCATCCCATATTATCATATCCGTCTCCATGAGCTGCTCAGCTTCTCGTTGTCGTCTTATTGAAGAGGTTCGGTGACCGTCACCGATTCCGGGAGCAGATAAGTGCGATGCCGATCCAAGCCACACATAAAACTTTGCGCCGCATCCCAACAGCAATGTTATAAATGGTGCTGTATAAAAGTACGTCTTGCCGCTGCCGCCGGGACCATCAATAAAGATGTATCTGTTCTGAGATCTTTCCAACGCACCAAGATCGTCGGCAGCTTCCTTCTTTTGATGTTGAGTGTTTCGTACTGGCTCCATCCAATTCTCTCATAAGCTGTGTAATCGACCATTGTTGGTGCAGATGGGCGTTCTGCGGTGGGCGGAGTTAGGATTTGCCTTAGATTTTTGCCCATCATAGCAACCCGATTGAAGACGTCAAGATATGCAAAAGCGATAGCATGTTCTGGATCGAATCCCTGTCGTATGTAGTCATCCGACATCATATCAGCAACTCATCCCACAAATCTTGCTTCTGTAGTACCTTCACAAAAGCACAGGAGACAGGCAAAAAAACTCCTCATCGTGCTGCAGACTGGTAATGAGCTGCTTCCTGCAAACTCTGCCTGAAGATACCTATCGTCGTCCAGAAACCCAGCAGCTTTCGCTGCATCAGCGAAAGACTCGTAGGTTCTGCCATCGATTGTTCGCATGTCTTCGAAGGATGTTTTCCCTTTACAGTTGAGCAGGAGTATTCGCAGGCAATATCGTTCTGTCTCTGGAGGTGAGACTGTGAGCATCCTCCCGATTGTTTGCCTCCACGCCTCCTCGGTGTCCATCCAGCAACATCGTCGAGCATCGAACGTGAAATGCTCTGGTAGTTGATAGTAGTAGGGATTTCGAGCATCGACTGTGAAATCAGTGGACGGATCGTTTTGGACACTGTTCACATCGCATGTTCAGCTCAGAAAATGCTGTTAGGTTGTAAAAGATCGCTGGGCCTGCTCAAGATGCTGTTGCTCCCGAACATGAACAAAGTGGACTGTTTCGAAACCCGGGCAGGTGTACTGCTAGCCTGTACACCGTGTGCGATTTGTCCTGCATGTTGTAGCCGAATATTCGATAGATGCTCTGTGGGGCGCATACGTAGCGGGTGTTGAGATGCTGCTTAATTTCATCGACGTTCTCGTTTGCGTCCACAATTCCTTCACTTTCAATGTTGATACGCGCACGATCGGGACCCTTAGAAATATTTGACAGCCGAAACCATACCGCAAATTCCAAGGTTGACATGGTAATCATATTTAAGAAGAGTAAGGCTTCCTTGGAACTACCCACTCATCACTGTAAGGAATCCCATTGATTTGTTGGTGAAAAGTTACGCCGGTCGATAATTAGGATAACCGTCAACATCCACAGAGGTCCTATCACGAAGTTGCTTGGGAAATTTCTTAGAACATGAGTCGCCAGGCATGCATGGTGAACGTGGATCCATAGGTCCACATTGCCGATGGATCATATGCGATGTTATCGCAGAATAAAGCTCAGGTTCGGTTTCTCTGCTTGGGATCTCATGCGCAGATGGCTTTATCAACGTCTTCGGCCGTGTACACCTTCCAACCTTCTTTCATAATAAGAAGCATATGGCAGTGCGGTAATCCACGCTTTTGGAATTCGATGACGTGTACATATGCTTCCACCTCTCCCAGGACATGTTTCTTAAAAAGATCGTCACATAGCTCTTGCAGTTTTGCGTGAAACACACGCGCCACCAAATCAGGACGATCTGATGGCGTCTGGCCTTGGAAGAGGTTTTCCCGTATCTCCTTCCACTGCGGGTTACATGTCATCGTGAGAAAATAGGTGGGCTTTCCGTAGCGTGCCACAATCGCCATAGCGTCCTGATAGGCCTGCTGCATTGCACGTGGACTGCCCAGATGCGATGATGACAATACGACTCGGTTCCCAGGCGGTCCGGATATATCATCTCTCGCCAAATAATCCTGCAATCCTGTATAGGAGTCACGCCGCAGCGATAGCTGGTTTCTTCGTTGAAAATTGAGACGGTTTTGTTCAATTTTCACGTATGCATCAACCGCAAATTGCTGACACAGCTTCCCTGCATGCAGAATCGGGTTGAAGGCGTCACGAACTGAGAACAAATATGCGTAGTAGTCCTTTTGGGTGATGCGTGTGCCAGCTGTATTCCTCAGACTGGGCTCCCAACCACCTTCGCCAGTCGGAAATAGGAGCGGGTACGTCAGAGGGTCACAGATCTTATCAATATCACGGATATTGATGAGCTGCTCGCCCGACTCGCTCCGCAGATGGACTGCAAGACTCCTGTGGGCAGGGACATCCTTGTCTTGTGGTTTTACCTAGTGGTAAATTTCAAAAAGAGGCTCCTCGCCTGCGCTCTTTTCTCGAGAAGGGGTTTTCATACGCCCTTCACTTCCATTGGTGGCGGAGGGCGCAGGCGAGAAGCATGGCTCAGTCGCCGTGATAACTCTGGAGCAATTGATTGAGATGCATCGCCTGTTTCGGAAAACAACTAACTGTTCCTCGTTTTTGGGATTCTTGTCTTCTGACCAATATACGTTAACTTCACAAAAACGCCTTGGCATATTCGTTAGCCAAGTTTGAGTACAGTATTGTTGCTATAACTGAAACTTGGCTCAAATCTCACATCCTGATGGAATCATTTTTGGGAGACCTTTGTTCGAAGCTACGTCATTTTCAGGTGTGATAGAAAAAGAAAAAAGGGTGGAGGTGTGGCTTTACTTGTGAAGCAGACATTATTTCCTAGCCTGGTTTTCTCTGAAAGCATAGTGGATGGATATGAGATCATTTCTGTTGATATTTATAATTCTGATTCTTCGTTTCGCCTAATCACTATTCTATATAAAGCAGAAGTTTTGTGTGTCTAAGTTTGTCTGGTCTGTCTTAGTATTGTATGTTATTGTATGTATGTTGTTGTGTTTGTTTGTTTTGTTTGTTTGTTTGTTTGTTTGTCCGTGCGCAAAATGCTTCACGGGATTCAACATGTAACTGAAAAGAGAAAACGATAGCTAGCCAAGAAAATCAAATCCAGAAAGCTTTCGGTGCAGATGTATCATCCAATGTTTTGATTACGATAACTCCACTATATAAGACAACCACACTTCAAGGGAGGTCGTTCAGGGCGTGGTGGCGCTTCAAAAACGGTTGTTGTCGGGATTCGGGCGGGGTGGGTGGGTGTGGTGCGCTTTTTGAGTGGTTTTTTTGCATATTGTAGGGGCTCATGCAAGGACCTGAAAAGTGTGCTTCATTTTCGCTGCGCGCTTCCAGGAAACGGTAAAAAACGAGTGAAAAGAAATCTTTGGAATCTGCTTCGTTCTGGGCCTCTATACGGCGTAGGTCACTTGCAACTTTGACCAGTTGCTGAGTGGGGGGTCCTTATAAAGGGGCTATTTGAATCGAAGCGAAAAATCGCCGCAAGTGAGCTTCCAACTTGGGTCATGTGCTCAAGGGTGAACGGCTTCTTGCAATGGTTTTTATGCAACGATAAGCGCGGCTTGCATCGTTCGAGCATCGGATGGCGCTAGTGGAATAAGGTGGAGTTTCGCATGCGGAACAGTGAAGGGTGGAGGTTGGGTGTTTCGACCTCCCACTTGCAGTTGTGGCTGTTTGCCATTCTTTAAGATTTCGCTGTTCTCGGGTCTCCATTTGTGTCTGCCGCATGATAACAAGTAAACTATTTGGCACTTTATGACACCTTCTGTGTAGCGCCTATACCTCATGAGTTACGTGGCTATCAACTACTGGCGACTTTCAACGCACCATTGAACAAGACTGTTGCTGGACGTTGACCCTCATAGGCTGTTCAGTGGTCTGATTGCGAATTTAGTAACTTCTGGTGTGGTGTCAATCATAGACAATTTTTGGCCACATCTTCTTTCCACTGAATTCGTTCTGTACATCAATATAGG